ATAACAAGTGATTGCAAAGACCATGGCCTGTATCAAATGCACCTTAGTCTCCAGAGAGAAACTATTGCTCTTCAGTACTTTGGAGAGGTCCCTAACAGCAGACTTTCCCATGGCAATGTGCCTTTTCATTTCCTGGCTACTTCTGCCAAGAGTGTTGACTGTGGATCGAAGAAAACTAAAGCTGTGAACAATCTCAATCTCTACACCATCCATCCTGATGCTGCCAATTGGCCCAGTGGTGAGAATCTTTGTCTTCTTGACATTGAGCTGCAATCTATATTGGAGGCTGCAGTCCTCGACCCTCTGCAGCAAGCACTTCAGGTCCTCCTCAGTTTCAGCAAGCACGGTTGTGTCATCTGCAAAACACAGATGGTTGATAGATCTTCCACCAATCTAGACTCCACATTTCTCCTCATAAAGCCCAGCCTCCCGGATAATCTGTTCTGCATAAAAGTTGAAAAGGTATGGAGCTAGGACTCATCCCTGGCGTACGCCCTTCCCAATTTTGAACCCTTGTTCTGTTCTGACGCCTGCCTCCTTGTCCAAGTATAGCTTTCACATTAACACCATCAACTGTTCTGGGGTTTCCATTCTTCTCAGAGTCAGCCACAGTTTGTTATGATCCACACAGTCAAACGCCTTTGCATAATCAATGAAACGTAGATAGACATTCCTCTGATACTTTCTGCTTTCAGCTAAGATCCATCTAACATCAGCTACAATATCCCTAGTAACACGGCCCCTTCTAAGCCCAGCCTGGACTTCTGGCAGTTCTGATGTGCTGTTTCAGTGGTTTTTGAATAATCTTCAGTAGAATCTTGCTTGCATGTGAAAGCAATGAGATTGTTCTGTAGTTTCTACACTCTGTTGGGTCACCTTTCTCTGGAATGGGAACAAATATAGAGCTCTTCCAGTCAGTTGGCCAAGTGGTTGTTCTCCAGATTTCTTGGCACAACTTGGTGAGCACGTCCAGGGCAGCAGCTGCTGGCTGAAATATAGTTGCATTTAATTTTTTTGTCACTTCATAATAGTGAAAAGAATTTTATTGATAGCTTTATCCTATTTATAACATTGATTCTAAACTTTTTTTCATATTTTAACATGCTGAACTTTGGCTATGCCTTTCAATTGTATTGAACCTTATATACAGTTTAATATCTTTGTCTTTGCATAGGCACAAATTAGTTAAAGCTAAGGACATGGTCACTACTTCAGATGAGTTTATACATTGTTAGCAATTACATATGTTGAACTCAGCTTCCACATAAAACATATTCACAAAAACTGCACTGTGATTAATACTAAGCAAAAAGTTAACGAGCATATAGAAAGACAAAAAGAGCTGTAGAGTATAAACGTATTCTTTTTTCCTTGTAGGGGCTAGGCCCAATCGCTATTTTCTTGGAAAGCACAGCAATGCAATTTAACATATTTAAGAAAAAAAATAGCAATAAGGAGATGAAACTATGTAAAGTTACTTGTACTGTGGAAAGGATTCATTACCTTCAAAATGGAACTAAAGACAGAAACCTATCAACTCCTGTAATATATATGGAATAGATTTTCTAAGTAACAAGAGGTTGATGTGATTGGTTCATATATCACACAGGACATAGTCTGATGGCAGAAACGTTTTTGTTGATACATAAAATGTTGGAACATCTTATATTTAATGGCATCTCTGAGTCAACAGAATATGAGATATGAAATAGTATAAATATGCTTATATTTTTTATAACTTTCTGGTTTCCTAAAATTGTTTTCTTTTTCATTTGTGTTGTTTTTTAACTAGTTAAAAAAATTAATCTATAAGTTGTTAATGTATAAATTAATTGGAGAAAAAGAAAAAGCAAGATCATAAGTATGATAAATTTCATCTAACATATTAAAATGTGACTTGATTGTTTTGTAAATGTATTGCATAGCAGATGTTCTGGGATCTTCTTTTAACAGCATAGAGGGAATATCATCCTCCCTATCTTATGTATTCTAAGTATCATATCATTGTCTTTTCTTGATTCATTTGTTTGTATTGATCTACCACATCTTTTTGTTACTTTTGGGAAAAGGGCTAATAAAAATAATGTTTTTGAATGTGCATGTGATTAAAAATAGTTTTATTCTAGATGATAGTTTAGCTGGATATAAAATTCCAAGATAAAAATAATTTGCCCTCAGAATCTTTAAGATTTGTTTTCACTGTCTTCTGACTTCTAGTATTGCTAATTCAAATGTTGACATGTTATCAGTGGGGAAGAGGAGCCCTAGTGGCACAGTTGTTAAGTATTCAGCTGTTACTGAATGATCAACATTTTCAACCCACTAGCAACTCTGTAGGAGATGTCATGCCCTGCTTCCATAAAGATTACAGCCTTGAAGGAATTGAGAAAAGCTAATAAAACTTTGGGGGTTCTATAAGACAAATCTATTCTGTACAATAGGTTCCCTATGAGTCAGGCTTTACTCAGTGGCAATAGATTTGGGTTGGTTGTTTTTTTTTCTTATATATGTCAAGATTTTCTCTCCCAAGGCTAATATTTTATGGTAATATTTACTCATGTAGATCTATTTTTCTCTAATACGCTAGGTTCTCAATCAGTTCTTTTAATCAGTAATGGAAAATATTTATTAACTATTCCTCTAGTGATATGCACACCTTTCCCTTGGTTAATGCTTTCCAAAACTCCTATTGTTTAAATATAGGAATTCCTGATCTGATCCTCTACTTTTAAACACTTTTCCATTCCCCACCTTTGTTAAGTTATTCTGTTATTCAAGGTTTACACTATTCTATTTTCACTTCCTTTATTTTTCTTTTTTATGTCATATTTTAAGTATTCTTTATCTTCTCTAAATGTTCTTGCATACTAACATGTTACTGTATCATGGATACAATGACTTCACTTACACTTTTAAAGCATTTCTCCCCAACAGTTTTCTTCTCTGGACTTGGTATCTATTCTTTCCAATTTTCTTTTTGTTGTTATTATTTCTCTGTCTTCTTTATAAAACATTTTTTTCAAATAAGTGTTAATCTTCATATTTTAAAATAGGAAACTAAATTGCTGATTGAAATCTCACAACTTTCAATCAGCAAGGTGATTTTACTTGGCTATTTCATTGCTGGATCCTTACTTATCAATCTTTTTAGGTCTATTCTTAGGATAGTCAAATTTCTTAGAGGAGAGACTTCAAATCTCTTGACATAAAGGATAAAAAACTGAAGAGTTTTTTGAGTGTGGTAATGAGGTCACAAGTGATGTAGGTTTTAACTTGATCATCCTAATTTTAGAAAGCTACCCCTATGTTTAGACATGCCCGTCCAGTTCCTTCTCCCCCTGCAGAAAACTCTGGATTCACATTTCTAGAAAATAAATCTCTAGTTTGATAGGACCACTGCTGTTTTGCTAGACCACAAAGGACCCCTTAAGATTGAGTGGAAGGAAGGGAGACTGCTGGAACACTTTGAGTGAGGTATAAAAGTCAGTTCTGGAAGGGAAAAGCCAAGGCTTTCTGGTTTCCCATTCAGATACTTTTGGGGAGAAAACTGCTATTTCACTAGCCACGTGGGGCCACTTAATCTCAAGCAGAAGACAGTGGGACAGCTGAGTTGCTCAAGTGAGGAAGAGAAGCCAGTTCTGGAAGGTAAAAACCAAGGCTTCCTGGTTTTTCCATTCAGGAACATTGGGGGGATCACTATTATTGGGCCCTTGGCCCTGCAGGCCTCAAGCCAACAAAGGAACACAATTATACAAGTCCTTCACAAAACATTCCCATACTGTTGGTCACTATATAGTTAAAGTGACATGACATCTACTAAAAAAAAGACTCACATATTGTCAAGAAAGTAGTCGTCTGCCTCAGTTATCATGAAAATACAAAATAACCCTTCACCTAAAAAAGAAGGCCCAATGAATACTCCAGATATAGAGAACAAGAAGAAATATGTAGAGGTGGAGTTGTTTGAAGAGCTACAGAAGAAGATGTAAATAATTGAAGAAACAATGAAGATAGCAAATACCCCAGATATAACAGTCCAAAAGAAATATATTAATGAGGATAAACTTGAACAGCTATGGAAGAAATTGCAAAAAATGGAAGAAAGAATTGATACTATAGGTAAAGAGGTACAAGAACTTTTAAAAAATCATCACGAGACAGAGAGGGTACAGCAAACACAGTACTGGAAATAACAGAAAAGTATGAAAATGCAATCAGGATATTAATACTGAAATGGCAGAAGTGTCCAACATACTGGTAGGACAAAAAGTAGAAATGAAGAGAGTCAATGAGGTGGAAGACAAGAGTCTCACTAAAAACATAGTAGGATAAAATTCAGAGAAGAGACACAAAAAAAATGAAGGGGGGGGGAACGACCACATTAGAATCATGTGGGATGATAGCAAATGGAATAACATATGTATGATTAAAATTTCAGAACAGGGGAGTGACAGGGAAATCACTGAGAAAATTGTGGAAGAACTACCAGACGAAAACTTGCCAGGTATTTTGAAGAACAGGAAATCCACATTCACGGAGCACAGGAAACACCAAAAAACTAGACTCAAAAAGAAAACATCAAGATACCATAGTCAAATTCTCCAAATTTAAAGATAAAAATATAATTCTGAAAACAAAGAATCATCTACAAAGGGAAAACAATTAGATTGAGTTCTGATTTCTCAGCAGAGACCATGCAAGCTGGACGGCAATGGAGACCTATACAGAAAGTTGAAAGAAAACAATTGCCAGCCAAGGATCCTATACCCAGGAAAGCTCTCCATCAAACATGAAAGAGAAATTAGAGACTTTGCAGAAAAGAAGGAATTTAAAGAATTTGTGAAAACAAAACCAAAACTACAAGAAATTTTAAGTGAAGTCCTTCACAAGAAGATGCCAAAGGAAGTGTATGGACCATAGTAACCAGAAACAAAAGAAAAAGAAACAGCTAAGTATCAAAAGTAAAACCTGGCTGGTCAGTGCACTCAGCCTCTTCTGCCATGGCCGCGCTTACTCGTAATCCGCAGTTCCAGAAGCTGCAGCAGTGGCACCAAGAGCACGGCTCCGAGCTCAGCCTGCGCCACCTCTTCGACTCGGACAAGGAGCGCTTCAACCGCTTCAG